GTATATATATATATATATATATACTGTATATTCTTACAAAGAAGGTCTATTATAGGCTACTAATATAATTTTGTGTGTGATTTTGTTTGTTTGGTTTTATGTGTGACTGGAAATCTCAAGCACTCTCCCCATATTATCAGGTAAAGCACTTGCCATCCTCATTGTATACTAAAATTTGTACATATCTGTCTTTTGAGTGGACAGTGATCTAGTTAGTTCCTAGATATTCTTTGGTAGTCTCTTGTTCATGCCTAACATAACATTTGTTCAGGTGTTCATCTTAAATAATTAATGTCTTCATTGGAAATTATGGTCATTGTATGGTTATTGTAGTAAAAATCTCACACTCTTACTCATTCTGCTCTAGACTTGAATTGTGGATCAGAAACCTACAATCCCCATGAACAAATCTGTTGCTCAGGGAATCTGTATAAGAAGGCATCAGCACTTACGCTTTTTGACCTTTTTGACCTGAAGCTTAGTTTTGCAGAAATGGAAATTCAAATAAATTGGAGATTTCTCTTATTTTCAGTAATTTCAGTAATATGCTTATTAAAGGGGTGGTTGATTGTGATTTCACTTTTTTAACTTTAGATAGTGTGTAATGTTGCTGTTTGAGCATAAACAATATCTGCAAAGTTAAGACACTGAAAGTTCAATGCCAGCGGCGATATTGTCTTTTAAAATTATGGCAGTTTAATGCCTACAAAAACGGCACATAGGGACTACAATGAGCTACTTTCTGGGTTTGTGACATCACAAACCCAGAAATTTACATAAACCCCACCCCCGGGAACGTGCAACAAAGGGGGCGAGGCCATGTGCTGCTTTAGAGAAGAGGAAGAGTTGTTGCCATGCCGTCTAAACTAGGGGTGCTCGAAAAAATCTATTCTTATATGAATCGCGATTTTGTCTTCAAACGATTCTAATGGGCTACGTTCACACTGTCAGTTTTTGGGATTGACAACCGCATTTTCTTTACAGGTGTGAGTTTCGAAATGTCCTGTTCGCACAGCAGCTTACAGTTGCGTTTGGAATACTGTCTGTATGAACGTGCAAAAGGAGTCAAGCTTAGACAACTAGTTGTCCAGTCCTGTTCCGTTCACACAGCGTGTGTGTTCCGAGAATGTGGTTGTGAGTCCTGAAAATTTACAGGTGTGAGTTCGGTTACAGAATGCGGTTGTCACGCCCGTAAATAACTGAACTGTGTGTGAACGTAACCGCATTAAGGACTCAAATACAGGACTGACAACCGTATTCTGCTGCTGTGTGAACGTGGCCCATGGATTCACAAGTTTCAAAATCAATGTTCTAAAGCAGCGGTTCTCAATCCTGTTCCTCGCGTCGCCCTGCTCTGCAGTGATCTATCGTTAGTCCCGTCCCCCTGCACCGGAGGTAGCACTGAGCGGGTAGCACAGATAGGCTACACTACTTACCCTGCAATGATCTGTCGTTAGTCCCGTCCCCCTGCACCGCAACCCAGTTCTGATGGGGCTTACAGTAACCCTCCTTCGCATCACAATCAAATAAATCTCACTCCCTGATATTCATATTATTATACATAATCCCTTATGAAAATTAGCAATGGTATTACTATAGTAAAATTATAGTAGGCTAACCATGTTTTTTTTGGCGTTTTTATTACCAATTGTAGCCTATAACCACAGTTTTACTACAAATACCATGGTTAAACTATGGTTAGTGTAGCAAAACATGTTGTTTTCACCATGGTCTAACTATAGTAACCTTGCTTTTTGGTTGTAACCACAGTTAATTTTCGTAAGGGATATTTTCATGTTATTTTATATCTTTTTATTTTATGGCATGTATCTGTGAAAATGATTAGGCTATATGTACAGCACACACCACATTGAATAACGCTGCGCATTTCAAGGCGCTTCAGTGGACCTTAAAGGGTTAGTTCACCCAAAAATGAAAATTCTGTCATTAATTTTATGGATCTTGATAGTTTGGCTGGCGTTGCTGTCAATGGAGGCCTCTCTGAGCCATCGGATTTGATCAAAAATATCTTAATTTGTGTTCTGAAGATGAACGAAGGTCTTAGGGGTGTGGAACGACATGAGGGTGAGTAATTAATGACAGAACATTTTTGGGTGAACTAACCCTTTAATGTTACCTGTTTTGTCAATGTTAAAATTCTTTTTTAATATATCAGTAAAAAAGTATGAGGCTTTTACTCAAGTCTTTATCACTTTATTCAAATTAAGCAAAACAAAACGACAAATGTTTACTTTCACAAGTATAGGCTTGTAGTAAGCTGTCTCTTGCCTGTAGACTCAATCAGGTAACAAAAATGTCGGGAAACGACACCTCTGGCCATTCTATTGGGTCGTTTGTCCAGTCACAGATACCGTACGGACAGTCCGACCCAATACGGCTCTTTCTACATATGTTGCTCTGTCGAACGGCAGAAATTATTTTATGTAGGCCATTCTGAGTCAACACCATGCTTTTCCAATGAGGGGGAAAGGATTGTTTTCCCCCACGCCGACTCCGCCCACACAGCTATGACGCGACACCGATCAAGTCTATATTTACGACGCCATTGTTTACAATACAACCAATGAACATTCTGAGGTGAGGGACGTGAAGTTTCTGAACGTGCATTAGGTGGTTTAGTGAATCACAACACACTGGGCCAGCTAACCAATCTGAGCCCATTGCGTATTTCTGAGGGAGGGGCTTCATAAAACCAGGAAATCATCAGATCATTCATTGGAGAAGGGACAGAGAGGTGTAGAATAAAGGTAAATTATGTGAAAAAATAATGTGGTTTTTGAAAAACGAAGCATTAACACATGTTAGACTGCACCCCATAAACACATTAAAGCCTAGAAAAAAACAGTCAACCACCCCTTTAAGTATTTGGAGAAATGACAGTATACCGTTTTCAAAAACTCATACATACATTATGCATACATTATTGTACAGTACTATGTATACCTGTGTCCTTCAGTGCTGTGGCGAAGATGCTTACACTCTGTCAGATGACAATGTGCTGTGCTGTAATGGAATCCTTTATCGCAATGTGTCTGAGCAGTCAGAGTGTGTTGGAGGTGTTATATATACTCCAGCAAACACTACTTGCCAAATGTCGACCCGTCCTCGTCTTGGCGAGCACTGCTGTGGAGGACATACCATCAATCCTCGCACACATATTTGCTGTAATGGACACAGGTAGGCCCACAGATTACAAAGATTTGATTTAAAAGTGCACTTAGTACTTTTTTGCTCATGTTTTAAATAATTTCATTATGTTTTGATTCATTTTGCAATCATCCAAACCTTGACCCTTGATCATAAAGGGGTCATCAGATGCCCATTTTCCACAAGTTGATATGATTCTTTAGGGTCTTAATGAAAAGTCTATAACAGTGGTTCTCAACTGGTTTGGCAACCCACTTTTATATATATATATATAAAATTAACTAATTAATCACACATTTTTCTGATATTAATCGCGATTAATCCCACCTAACATTAAAGTTTTTAAATATACTTTTATATTGCAATAATTTCACATTCAATCTACAAATTAATGTACAAACAACATAAAGACAGTATATTTTTAAATATTTGTTTAAAATATTTACTTTTTTTCTGACTGAAGGCCAGTATCAATGATACCAATACTGATTTATCTATAAAGTTGCCCCCCCCACCCAATATTTAACCACTGACTATAGCCATTCAACATTCCAGTATAATTGAGAGCTATCAATTTTAAAATTTATTAGACTTTAAAAAATAACTTCTAATAAATTCTAAATTAAATATAGATGAATCCTTAAAGCTATAAAAGTTATTTTTCCTCTTCTTTTCATTGTCCTTTGATTAATAGACATCACAAAGGCTGGTTATTAGCTTATTTTGGCTGTTATTTCTTTAAGAGCTGGCGCTGCTGAACGTGACACGGATCTGACACTCATCATATTTTCTCTCAACTATTTTTACATTTTCTGACCCACTTCAGGTCTTAAAGTTTCTATTAATGAACTGACGAGTTAAATCGGGTGTGTTAGATGAGTGAGACAGTGCTGGGCTGCTCCAGGACACTTTTGAAAACCATTTCAGAGACATGTTCTTAAATGTGACTCATAAAATATATTACGTGCATGCACAGTTTTAAGGCAGCTTTAATCGCCTTTTTGGTAACTTCATGACTGACTACGACATTGCATGCACGTGGTTTATTTCGCGCTTTGATATGAAAGGATACATGCTACAGCACGCGCCGGCGCCTTTGTGCATGCAATTGAAGAGCACGCTACCATTTCAGCACTTGCTTGACTCGCGCGCTGAATTAAAGTGGAACGTGCGTCTGAAACGTCTCCCGTTCTCAGTCGTTCTGCGACTGAATAAATGCACTTCTTGTTAAGAGAAAAAGTGACAGAAGCAGCAGTTGTGAGTGGGGTGGCCAATATATATATATATATATATATATATATATATAAATTAAGACTGTTAAGAATATGACTAATACTGAATAAACAGCCTATAAATAACAGTCCCAAACTAGTTTTTGTTAACACAATTAAGTTGGTATGAGCCACCACAGTCATTTAAACATATACAAAATGACACAAAGTGAAAATAACATGGTATTTTTGGGTTATGGAATCAACAGTTACAATGTTGAATATACAATATTAACATGAACTGTTAATGAAACGTGAAAACTGCTCCTGAATAGAATGAATATCATACTTTCATGCAAATCCTTCCCAGCTAACACACGCAGTACCAGTTATGTGATTTATCGGTACTGTACTTTTATTTCACGCGTTGCATGCTTGTAGTTTCTGCGCTATAGTGAAGTGATATACGAACACGGTATAACATCTGACAGGACAGAATAGTTCACTTTTCTGAGGTGAGAGACTTTTTATTTCATAACAAGTTACGAAAATAACATATCGGTTACGTATGGTAACCCTCGTTCCCTGAAGGAGGGAATGGAGACGTCACGTCGGATGACCGACGAATTGGGATCTCGCTTAGAGAGACCAATCTACTTCGAGTGTAAACTAAACGAGCCAATGCACATTGGCATGCGATTATTGCATCCAGCTGTCGCTGATCACAGCGTGAGTATAAGTAGGCAGCTGGTGCAGCGCATATTCAGGTTTTCGCTGACGAGCCAAGCCGGTACCCCGGCCGCTCAGCAGTGGTACAGAAGCTATGGTGACGGAACGTGACGTCTCCAGGGTTACCATACCTAACCGAGACGATCCCTTTCAGTCGGTCACTCTCGACGTCACGTTGGATGACTGACGAATTGGGATCCCTATGAAAGGGCCATAGCTACTGCCCCTTCCAGTGTCCTGTGGAAGCCTCCTGCGCCCCTACTTTTTGGCGCAGGCCAGGGCTTACCACAAAAAGAACAGCTACTGCTGCTATGGCACTGCCCACTCAGTAAGACTGGATAACACTGGGAAAACGTACCCGTACCACTTGGAACAGGGATGTTGCGGAAGCCCCATCCTTCCCGAAGGAGATTTCGGAAGCACTTACACATATGAACAACCGTTTAGGCACATATGGAAGATTAGAGGTTATTGTAACCCTCTTGGAAAATAGCAGGAAGTCTGCCGGGGAAACACGGGCTCTGAGGCTATACCATGGACTGTACACATATGGGATCCACTTAGGTCTCTACATATGGAACCCAGCCCTCTACCGGTTCTCACGGATTCTATACACATACGAGAACCGCTTAGGTCTCAATATGGAACCCAGCCTTCCACGGTTCCCGCGGATTCATCGTGAAGGCCCGGCGCCGGACGTTCCGCCGCGTCCGCTGCCGAGGGTGATGGAGGATCTCAACAGGGTCTACTGTAGGACACTCTGGAGCAGTTTTAGCAAGCCAACACGAAGCCGGGGCCTCTCAGTGCTTCTACCCGTTTGAGGTGAGAACACAGGAGGATACCGGCTCCACACGGAGGCTATAGAATCTAGCGAACGTGTTGGGGGTCGCCCAGCCCGCAGCTCTACAAATATCTGTCAGTGAGGCACCACGAGCCAGTGCCCAGGAGGATGCAACACTCCTAGTAGAGTGAGGTCGCAACCTGAGCGGGCAGGGCACACCCTGTGCCTGATAAGCCAGGGTGATGGCATCCACTATCCAGTGGGCCATCCTCTGCTTAGATACTGCATTCCCCTTCCCAGTCACCTCAATGACAGACAAAGAGCTGGTCTGAGGTCCTGAAGCTTTGTGTCCGGTCTACGTACCATCTCAAGGCTCGGA